CCCTTTGGGTGCGCCACTGTCTTGACTTTTGGTCATATTGTTTCATTTTGTGTGTGTGCGCGCGCGCGTGTGTGTGTGAATTTTAATTACCCCCCCCCCAAAAAATAACTTGAGTGCGCCACTGTAAACACACATGTATTCCACACGCGATTAAACTGACACTGCATGTTACTCGGGACGCTCGCTTACTTGAGATGCTGTTAAAAAAAGTATAACTTATTCTTGTGGCTTTGTAATTTACGTATATTTGTGAGTGTGGAAAATGAGTGTAAATTATATTATATTTTTATTAAATTTGCTTGTTGAAGCAGTCGACTATTTTTTCAAACACATTGGAAAACTTTGGTATCTTGTTAGTCCTAAGGAGACGATTTTTGAATTTCCTCATGAGGTGCCAGACTATCAGCAACAGGTAATGTTATCAAAATAAAAAATAAGAATAAAAGAAATTAAATAAATGTTTGAGGGCTCTACAAAATTTAAAATAATATTAATCTTAGAGAATCACAAAGCCAAAGCCAGATGTAGAAGCTTGATCATTTCAATCTATTCTTAATGAGTAAATGAGGCAAAACATATTCAAGAGTCTTCGATTGTTGAGGACAATCGTCATTGAACTGTCGTCGAAGACTCTTGAATATGTTTTGCCCGATTTCGTTCTTTGCAGTCTCAATATTGACCGTTTAATATTAACAAAATGACATTGTAACTAAATTGACGAAAAATAGGCGTAGGGGTATAATTAAGTTAAATCATGTACTGAAGATGGCCAAAAGACTGGCCGAAACGTGTACTCATTAAGAATAAAAGGAAATAATCAAGCTTCTACATCTGGTTTTGGCTTTGTAATCCTCTAAGATTAATATTATTTTAAGAGAAATTTTACACTTGCAGAAATTTATTTAATTTTACGAAATTAATTTACATCTAATTTTTTTGTAACAGTATTATAATTAGCATTAGAGCAATCTTAATCAATAATTTAAAAATTCAGATAATTTATCCACTTACTCAAAAATATTATTATTTACAATTTAGATAAATTTACATTGAGAAAAAAATTAATATAAAAGGTAATACTTTTTTTATTAGATAAGCAAAATTTGATTTAATTAAGTAGTACAGACCGGTATGATATCGAGTTAACCAACATTTTTTGAATAAATATTTAAATTTAGTCAGTATTACTAATAATTACAGATAAAAAAAATTAACATATTGTTAATTTCTGTTTTTTAACAGACTTGTGTAATTTTTGTATATATATATATAAATATTTCTTCAAATTATTATATCTTATCAATATCTTATTTCTTAGAAAATGAAACAGTACTCGCATGTACAGATAGTTATATTTGCTTTTAGTAGAAAATATTATATAAGTATATAATAAAAAATAAAGTTTTTTATAGAATGTTATTCTATTTTAGAGAAGTTTGACTGTACCAGTATCATTATAAAATAAAAATATTTAAAAGAATAATAAAGAAATAATCTTTACATTTTACACAATGTTATTTCGATAGATTTAATTTCGTTATTGCTCACGTCGTGCTCAGTTGATATATAAAATTTTATATAAACATTCTTTTGGTTACCTAATATATTATAATGTATTTTGTATAGAATAAGCACACACACAGAAATAATTTTAATTGTATGATAATAGTTGTATAATTTTTTGTTTAATAATTGTGTATTTAATATTAGAAGTAATCTATATATAAGATTACAACTAGTATTTGGTGGTCGAATAGCTTGACAATTTGGATCTCGAGATCAAAGAACAGATAATTTGCAAGCTATATTTAGAAAGTTAAACTATTCGGAATTATATTTTTTGCATCTAATACATATTTATTGTGAATTTATATTATGTATTTATTCAATTTTGCAGTAGATAAATACGTTGAATACTTCCTTGTATGTACATGATATATTTCCTTACGGATTCATATCTATTTTTTTTCTTTGATACATTTTAAAATAGATTCTATGAATATACAGCATAAAAAATATTAATGTTAATAAAATGACATCTACATAAAATTTGACAGAAACGAGAAGCCATTTATTTTCCGTTTGCAATGCATGTTATTTTTACCTTAATTTTCTTTTTATATCCGAGCTGCTGAAATTTGCATACATTACAAAGTGATATTATAGATTAATTATTGCTTACGTTCGAATTGTGCGAACTCAAAAGTGAAATACTTTTACTTTGAACACGCAATGCGTTCAAATTTTTGTAGCTCTAATTGAACGTTTCTCTGGCGAATAGTCTTTATACAATATTGTTACACAACTTAAATAGCTTTTATACAATTCTTCCTTCAAATTTATTTGAATGCAATTTGTATTTAAGTAGCATAAATCATGTCGAACGCATCGGAAAAGTTCCGTAAATTAAATGCAGCTGGCTTATTAGGAACACGACAAGCTAGACGAATCGTTAACGAATCGTATGCACTATTCTTATCGCATTATTCGTATGCATTATTCTTATCGCAGTTTTCGAATGTTGTAATGTTATTTAAAGCAACACAGAAAAATTAATTTTTGTCATTTATAGATATGGATGCCATTTTTTCTTTTGTTAATTTTGGAGCAAATAATATTAAGAAAAAAAAAATTCCGTTTGAATGATCAAGTGACATCGTTATCTCATTGGATACTGCATGAAACTGTCCGGTGAGCGTAAAAATTTATTTATTACCGTCTAGAGAAATAAATACAATCATATTTACTATAAATATAAATATATAATATACAGGGTGTTCGTAAAGGTTGAGACTAAATTTATACAGTGTGAAAAATATTTGCTTTTTGACTATTTTAGTACTTATTTTAATACTTACATACACAAATATAATAACAAAATAAAAAGTACAAAGTATGAAAAAGATAATTTTAGATTAAATCAATATGAAGTAATAAAGTAAGTAGATATAAAATGTAAATATAATAAACTTTTGTATTGTTTGACAATTTAAAAAAACTGTTGATTTTGCAGAATTTTTTCACGCGGTGCCGAATATTATATATACATCATCATTCACGAGAGATTTAGTAAAGGATGGAATTTACCTTGGGACTCATTATGGACATGGTATATTACTTTCATCGTTGTGGATTTTTGCTATTATTGGGCACATCGCAGTAATCATGGTTAAAATCTTATTTATGTATTCGCCATGTTAATATCCAGCTTCTCTTTACTTCTCTCTTAATTTAAAACGTCAATTTGCAGAAATTCACTTTTTGTGGGCATGTCATCAAGTGCATCATAGCAGCGAGGAGTTCAATCTCGCGGTCGGTCTGCGACAACATATTTTACAACACTGGTGCAACTTTGTGAGCATTCTGTGAAATTTGTTAACAAGCGTTAATTTTGACTTTAGAAAAAGACGTTAATAGAAGATGTCAATTAGCTGACTACTGAGACAGTATCTAAAATTTAATTAAAATAAATTAAAAACAATTTATAAATTTTAATTATATCGCCTGATAATACATGAACACACTTTTCTAGCGTTATAATTGCGTTTTAATATATATTTCTTTTGCAGGCAGTTTATTTGCCTCTCGCCATTTTTATACCTCCATCGCATTTTATGGTCCACAACCAATTCAATTTGATATATCAATTATGGATACATACAACACTCATCGGTGATCTCGGACCGCTCGAATTGATTCTTAATACACCTAAGCATCATCGCGTTCATCACGGTAAATTAAACATATAGCGCTTTTTCTCAACTTATATTACACACTTTTGTATTTGCAGGTTGTAATCTTTTCTGTCTAGATAAGAATTATGGAGGTGTATTTATAATATGGGATCGATTATTTGGTACATTTCAAGAAGAACAACAGAAAGAAGAAATAATTTATGGTTTGGTGGTTAATCCTAACTCATTTAATCTGATTTATCAGCAGGTGAAAATTTTTAAAAATAAATATTTATATACGTTATTGAGTCTAACAAATAGTATTTGGAAAAATCAAACTTTATGTATACAGAATAATTTACGCAATCGGACCGAGTTCTAGCGCCTGTTATATAATAATTCAAATATTAAACTGTTACTAACTATTTTTCCTCTGTAATATTGCAGATATTTTATTTGAAGAGTGTAATTCAGAAAAGTATAAGTATGGTTACTTGGAGTGATAAATTTGCCGTTTTTTGGAAAGGTCCTAGCTGGTTTCCAGGCGGACCACGCTTGGGTTTAGATACATTAAAAATAAAGGTAAGGTAATGAAAGTTCTTATCCACTCTTAAAAAAGGCATGAAAGATTGATACTCGAATGTATCGAAAGTATTGTTGACGCTTTTCCGCGACGCTGATTGGTTATCGCGATTATTCTGACAATTTGATACTTTGAGAGCGAAGCTTATTTTGACGGTTATTTAAAATAAAAAAATTGTATTAAATATTTAGATTTCATAATTATTAAATTACTATAATAAATGCGCGCGCGTAGCACGCGCCTGAATTGTCCCGATCGGGTGTAATCATCAGGACCCGATCATTCTTGCCTGATCAGTTCCATATCGAGACCAAATTAATATTTTTACTCAGGACCCGATCGGGTGTACTTATCGGGACCCGTTCGGGTGTACTGATCGGGACCCGATCGGATTTTTTGATCGGGACCCTATCGGGTTCCTGATCGGGACCCGATCGAGTTTTTTGATCGGGACCCGATCGGGTTTCTGATCGGGTTCCTGATCGGGACCCAATCGGATTTTTTGATCGGGACCCGATCGAGTTTTTTGATCGGGAACCGATCAGGTTCCTGATCGGGACCCAATCGGATTTTTGATCGGGACCCGATCGGGTTTCTGATCGGGACTCTTATTCTTTATCATTCTTTTTAAATCTCTGTCATCCTAATAATTCTCTCAGAGTATTTAATTCAGTTTTTTTACATTCTTATCCAAGGAAATATTTTTTTATTTTATTCTATTCTTTTTTTATTTTTTACCATTGCTCATATATTCTTATTTTTCTATATCCTATCCAAACTCTTTTCCCTTTCTTCCTCGCTATCTCTTCCAGTTTCTATCTCATTCCTCTTTCCTTTCATGTTCAATCTCCCATAATTCTTTCTGTCCTGCCCTTTAAATTTTTCTTTCTATTCAGTATTTCCTTTTATTGCTCTTCATTCCTCAGTCTCACTAATACTGTCTTTCTTCGCTTTTTTACATCCTCTCCTATTCTTTGTATCTCTTCTATATTTACCTTTGTTGCTACAATCTTAAGCACCTTCTCTATCGCCTCTTTTCTTTTCCCTTTCTTCTATCCCTTTTATGAAATTGTTCTTTCTCTTTCTTCCCGTTTTTTTATGTCTATTTTCTTTTTAATTTCTTTTACTTTGTTTTCTATTGTCATATTTTCCCTCCTTCCCCTTCTGCCTTGTTTTCTTTTATTCCTTCTTTCCTTTTCCATTCCAATTCTTCTACTCTTTTTATTAGTAATACTTTTAATATATATATACACAAGTGGATACACGAGTGGATATTTTAGTAAAATATATTACTTATTTATTTTATAGGTGAAACCTAGAATCATATACGATCCCTTTATACCAAGATGGCAAAAAATATACATTGGTATACAATTTTTAACGGTTTTTTTCAGTCATTATCAACTACACAATCTATTACATGAGGTATGTTTTTAATATCATTCCTTTTTTGTTGAATTTTATACACGTATATATTATAAAAAAGCAAATAAATTATAAATATAGAGAAAATAGCAAAGAATAACAATGAATAAAATTCCTTAGAAACATTAAAAAGATGTAAATATATAAAATATACAAATATAAAAAATGTAGAAGTACTACATAAAAATTTGAAAAATAAAACCTTTACATCAACAAACTCTGAAACTTCTGCTTTGGCAGTGAGTTTGCAGTTTGTCGGTGACAAAGATAATGACAAAGCTTAGGGTAGGCAAACGGCAAGATTTTCTTTCGAAAAACAAAAGAAATTTCTTGCGCAAATAAAGCATTATACTAAAAGTACAAACGATTAGATGTTTAAATGTATAAATAATAACTTTCACAATCGAGATAGTAAAGTATATAATTTTAATCAAATGTGTACATACATATTATAATTAATTTTTATTAATTTATTTTTAATAATTTTTTTAAACATTTAATATTAAACTTTTATTAATTTAAAATGTTACGATTTTGACACAAATATATTTTACATTGAATAACTCTGCTTGCCATAATTTATTATAATTACACCTATCAATTGAAATTATATGAATTGAACATTTTAATTTATCTTCACTTACTTCAACTCTGATTTCAGAATTTATATGACTATTGGATAATATTTGCAACGGTAAACAATTTAATCACTCTTATCAGTATAAGTTTGCTGTTTGATAAATGTAGACTTATATATCCTAGTATCATTGAACTCGTGCGCTGTATCGTTTATTTGTGTTTTGTGCCTGCAACAAATCATGATAATTTAATTGACTATTGTACGTATTGTATACAGGGATTTAATTTGATTTTTGTTTGGTTACCTTATTTCATAAATAAATTTTTTACATATATATACATGTATATCCGCAACATATAAATCGCAAACATGTATATGTTATCGAAAATTGAAAATCTATGTGATAATTTGAAACACTGCATATAAAAATCTTAAAAAACTTTTTTAGACCAAAATATACAGATCTACTTAACGTATTAATGCTAATTTTAGCCTTGAATTTTAATTTGTAATTATATTGAGTTGGAAGTAGTGTAAACTAAAATAAGATGGATATTAATGCAAAAAATACAATAATTACATGATAAATTTAATATAATCTGCTAATGAGAAGAGCTTTTTTAACCATTAATGCTACATGTGTAATAGCAAATTATGTTAATTATATTTTATAGGAAAAATAAGTACGCATATAAATTTCAGATAATGCACAGATGTATATTTTCATCTTTAAGGAAATAAATTTTTCAAATAATACTATTAACTTGTAATAATATACATATGTTAACATAATTGTTAATGTTGTAATCCTATTCTATAAATAAAACTAATATAATAAATAATCAAACAGTGTTGAATTTTTAAAATAGAAGTGTAAATACTTTTACTGTCTTTCGTAATACGTACGTCCTAAATATTATATTCGCATATAAAATTTTCTGTTTAAATATTAATATTATCTGTCTCTTTGTGAATATACGCTACAGGTAGCATGTTGTATTTTTGAGTTTTGCAGATATTGTTTGAAATTATTACACAATGTAAGGTATGTTAAATATATTATAAAATTTTACGAAAGCGCATCCACAAAGACATCTCATAATCAAAACGTTTATAAAACACGCTACAATAGATACACGTATGTGTGTCGTACGTATTATATAATATACAAGTAGAACATGTGTAAGTAGCATTTTAAAATATACGTTCAAAAATGCAACATAATATATGTAAAGACTCCAAAAACAGTTAAGCAAGATTGTCTGCGTTTTTTAACCCTTTCATTCCCAAATTATTTAATAGCTACAATAAAATGTTTGTTCGTATTTTTGTGCACATTACATAACAAATAAATCATAAAAAATTTTGACGTTTTAAAAACGTTTAAGAATTTTTTTTATTTGTTACTATTTAGCAACAAAATTTTATTTTTATTGCAACCATGTACAATAATTTGCATTGTAAAGTTATTACACACAAAAAAAATCTTTTTTCTTACTTTTGATATTGCTAAATCTGTTTAAAATATTTTTAAAAAATTATTATTTTTAAACATTAATTGCATTTAAAATAACTCTTGTCATCATTCGATGTTGTGACGGCAAAAAATGAAAGATGATAATATTCTAACATTTTATTGCGAAATGTGTAAATACATATCAAAATACGTGTTAGAGTCATGTATACAAGACTAAAAAGCACTAATACATATTCACAGATATAGAAATATAGATGGCTATAATATTTTATTTCATAATTTTAAATACTTAGCCATATGACTACAGTGGGAATGAAAGGGTTAAACAATTACAGCAAGAATCATTACAACAAATATGTCTGTCCAACTTTAATAATGATAAACAAGCAAGCATCACCGACTTTCTTATCCCGCGCAACAATATTATATTTTAAAGAATAGCAACTATTTTATTTAAGCATAATATAAATGCTTTCAGAAGACATCGCATAAAACAAGGACAAATGTAATATTATTTTGTATATCCACAAGTTTTTTAGTACATTATATTTAATATCGTGTTTTACATGTAAAGCTTCTTGAGTTATTCGGTAATATAATTATGAAATCGTAGCAAAGCCCTTCTTGATGGTCCGCTATCTATAATACAAAATAAAATGTAATTAATCTATCGATGATTATACATTTAGACTAACATTTAATGCTTTTTAGCACTATGATATATCAGTTTTAATACGGTTTATTTTGTAAGAATATGATTCACGCCGTACATACAAAATCCAATTTGTTTCTTATTACATTTTAATTCTTTCATTACGGCATTTGAGCAAAATCGAACATCTTCTCTTTCCCCAAAATAATCAAAGTTTTATATATAATACATATGTATAGAAAAGTAGAAACACTAGAATGGAACAAAAAAATGTTTTAAGGGGAGAGAAAATGTTGTCCGATTTTGCTCAAATTTTGCACATAGTTTACTGCATATGAAAGGCAACTTTTCCTCAAGTTCCACCTTAATGAATATATTATTTAATTAATTAATTAATTAATTAATTTTATATTTATTACATAAGGCTTTATTTATTATGTAATAAATATTTTATTTTATTACATTTGGGGGGTTAAAAAAAATTTCTTACAAGAGATACTTACCTATTAAAAATTTTCCTATGTATCGCTGCCTGATGACGTTTTGGTTTTGCCATTTTTTGCGCTAGTGTCTGTTAAAGATGTTTGTCCAACAGAGCTGTCAACCGCTGCTCGTTCTTCTATATGATGACCACTACTTCTCTCGTGTTGCTCCATTAAAGGCATCTCGAGAGAATCGGAAGAAATTCGTCTCGCGTTGCCACTGTATTGTCCACCGGTGTCCGGCGTCATTTCTTTTGTATCTTTCACGTTATTTAACGAGTCCGAACTCAGTGACGGAAAGTCCAAGGTCGTCTTCATCTCTAGAGAGTCGGAGCTTCGGCATAACGGATGATACTTTGTCTCCGCATTGTCTTCCAGTTCCAAGGAATCTGTACTGGTCTCCATAATATTGCTTTCCTTTTGTGCTGCTTGAACATTGTCGGGTTCTTCACTCTCTTCTGGAAGCGTCTCCGAAACCGGCTGAGCAGCAATTTTCTCAACATCGATGGCCTCGATTTGCGATATGTCCTCCGTGGTGTCGTCTTGCCGATCAAGCTTTTCTACATTGGACTGTGCAATGCGTATTATCTCGTCAATTTCTTTTATTCTCTTCTCATAGTCGTCTGATCCGGAGGTACTAGGGTTGACTGAACCAGCCGCGCTAGTCTCCGTTCTTGAGCGCGATAGATTCTCCATTTTGAACTTGTTCTCCGGACTCTCGTGCTCCAGCAATTCTTCCTCTTCGCGTGCCCGCAGCTCCATCAGATGTGCCTCTCGACAAGCTTTCTCCAAGCCCTCAAAATCTTTAAGCGAGGATAACGAAATGTCGTCGCCGTGACCAGAGCGACTCGTCATGTATCTTCTCGGAAGACTGCCGTTGTTGCTGCTGGAATCTTGCGAGCCGCTTTGAGCCTTCCGCGAGTTCTCAGCCGCTACGGAGCTTTCCAGATGTTCGAATTCCTGCAACGACGTTAACGACACGTTGTCGTGATCCGTAGGCTTGGTGAAGTACTTCTTTCCTAAAACGTCGTAGTCTGGTGTGCTGCCGAAGCTACCGCGCATACTTCCCACGCTGCCAATGGACTCTTTGTGGCTGCCCAAGCTGCCAAAGCGGCTACTACCGGCCTCGAAGTCCGTAATCTCTTCTTCCTTGATGTCTTCTAGCGGTCCGCGGTCGTACTCGATGTCATAAGCCCGCGCGTCTGCCTGAAATTGCATCTCTATCCACTTCTTACCCTCGTACTGCTCTTCGTCGGAATAAGATTGTGATTGATCGTCATTCGACGCCTGGGGTGGACTCTCCTCGGACTCGAAATCGAACAAATCGTTCCGCAACGGTTGACTCGTCGACACCTGCGAGTCCTCCTTTTTCTTCTCCGTTATCATGTTCTCCAGATCGCGGTCGTACTGCTTGCTGCTGACCTGTGGTGCTGAGCTAATACGAATACTCTTACCCTCGGAATCAAACTCCTCTGCCTCCCGTCCGACTTCCTCGATCACCACAAAGTCGTCGATAATATCAGGCTTGTCCACGAACTCGAAGGAATCACTGTCATTCTCGGACTTGTCCTTTTCTATGTCCTTTTCTATGTCCTTTTCTATGTCCTTTTCTATGTCCTTCTCCACGACTGTGTCAAAGGACATTCCCGATGCTGAAGACAGAGACATGCTGGCCTGCTGTAGCATTGAATGGACGGATGTCGCTTGCAACGTCGATTCGAGACCTTCGTCTCCGGTGATCTCAAAACCCGATTTCTGTTCTAGACTTTCCACACCTGTCGTCTCCGTGTCCTTTTTCGTGTCCTTATCCACTTCCGCTTCTTCCTCCTCAGATTTTTCACTATCGCTAGGCCTGGTAACTCGCGTCGAGATTACTTGCGTACATACACTTTGAATCCCGTCCTCGGACACTCGCGACGTCATTATGTCGACCGATTGAATGGCTCCGGGCGTGTCCATGAAGGCAGAAGTGGCCGAGTCCGCAACTCTAGCTTGACTTTTCTCTAACATCTCAGTTTCTACACTGTCATCCATGATCTGTTGGAAAATCATTTCAGACGAGCGCTTCATACGACATGGTATATGACTGTCGATCTTGTCCATAGTTTCATCCAGCGGTATCTCCTCACTGCCAGAAGAGTCCGATGCTTCAGCCAGTTCCTGATCTGCGTCCAACGCGCTCTCTAAATTTTCGTCTATGTCGTCCTTATCCTCGTCCGCTTCTTCTGACGGCACCAGCGTCTCCGACAGCTCGCTGGTACTATCGATGCTGCCGAGGTGGCCCGAGCTGAGAGAATTTAGAGATTTCATGGATTCGCGAGAGCTCAACGTGCTTGCCGCAGTCTGATACTCCTGTGACGTCGGCAATGTCTTCGACCCCTCATGCTCAATTGACATCATTGCTGTCTCGTATTCTGAAATAGTTCCAGATTGCACACCACCCGCGGCGGACTGCATTGCTTCAACATCAGATGAACTGGGTCTACTGCTGCTCTCATAATCGCAAGACTGGTAGTTGCTGCTCTCACCGGAACTTGAACCGAGATCTGCCTCGCTTTCTGAAGTCTTTGACACCTGGCTTTTCTTCGATATCCTAGTCGGTTTGTGACGTCTCCTGGGTGCCGGCTGAGGTGGTGCCAAAGAGTAACTGTCGATATCTGAACCGATGTCTGATGACCTGCTAATAGGAAGCGGACTAGGACGACCTTCGTCTTCATCTTCCCGTTGATCGTCTTGAAGATCCGTTATGGTTTCTTCATCTTCGTGTTTCTCGATATCAATTTCAGGTGCTTTAACTGCAACAACTGGTTCATTTTCGACAATATCAACTATTTGACCAACCAATTGATCGTCGACAGTCTTTTTCTCCACTTCGTGTTTTGCTTTTTCGAGTTCTTGAGTTTTTGCCATCGACAATTCGCTCTGCGTAGTAATTTCAGTATCAACTTCCGGTTCAGCCTCCGCAGAAACATGTTCAATGGACGGTGGTCTGTATAAAAATGGTAAATCATTTGGGATGGATTCCGGCTGGAGCATGAACTGGAACTCCGAGGGCGAATCTTTGATCTGAATCACGTTCTGGCTATTCTCGCTCAGCTCTTCTATTAAATCTTGTTTGGCAGCTTCTAAGGATTCTTTTACTTCGGCAATCTCTTTTTTTACTACTTGATCCAGCACTGTTATCGCATACCGCGCACTCAGATCGACGCCCTGGAGATCGTCCTTTTTTATTTTGAAGGCACAAGTTTCAGAAGAAGTGGATTTGCTGGATTTGTCGTGCTTCTCGATGGTTTTTTCCATGTGTCGTTTGTAGTCTTCGCTAGGTGGTTTGATCTTCGTCAGATAAGTCTCTGTCCACTCCTTCAACACGTCGTCAACTCTCGCACATTTCGGTGGTTCGAATTCTTCTTTTACGGGATCTTTTGCAGAAGTGTCTACAGTTTCCTTTATCTCTTTTGTAATTTTGGATTTTTGTGTCCCTTGATCTGTAGGTTCAATCACTTGCTGTTTCTGTGTTTTCTCAGCTGTGATATATTGTGCAAAATCTCCTTCTTTCTTTGTAGACACTTTGCTGGCCGATTCGACAGTTTTTATTTGTACAGAAATGTCTCGTTCAGAAACTTCTTTGTCCGCTGTTTGAACATCAGGTTCTTTAACTTTATTAATTTTTGCAGATATAGCCTCAGTTAAGTCTCTTGCTTCCTCCTCTTCTGTGGGTATTACTTCCGTGACAGCTTCAGTAATACTCGTTTCTAGGTCGAAATCCTCGAGAGGCATAGACTGACGTATCTTGGCTGTATATTCGTCCGTCGGCGTCTTAGCATCATGTTCCCGTTGCAGGGTATCGACCAACTCTTGACAAGTAACATCCAGCTTATCTTCTATCATTTCACTATCGAAATCTGATTCAGTCACTGGGACTACAGTAAATTTTGTGGTCTTTGCCGTGGTGGCCGTGATAGTTACGTTGATGTCGCTACTGGTGACAGATTCCTTAACTGATTCGATCACACTAATCTCCTCCGAAGATTTGGTGACAGACTCCTGGTCCATAGATTCGTCCTGCGATGAAGTACGGGCATGTCGTATGGATGACTCATATTCTTCCAGTTCTTGATTAAATACTTGAGAAGGCTCCAGTGTTTCCGATATCTCGATCTTCTCGTCGCCGATCATCCAATTCACTGGTTTGATCTCCAGATTGCTTACATATTTTGTTTTCGGCGAGATCAATGGCGGACTCTCGATCTCGAAACTGTCTGTTTTTTGTCTGTCCTCTGTATCGTACTCTTTCGGAGATGAAACACGCTTCGAAGAGTAATCCATGTCCTCGGATACTATACTCGAAGTAACAGTCAAGTCCTTCTCTTGGACAATCTTTTCTAAGGAGTCTACGGCCGCGCTCTCATGCAAGGATGGCGCGTCCTTACTGGTTTGCTCCGAAACTTTGTGCTCGTCAAGCTCTAAAGATGGCACGTCGACTGAATCCTGTCGACTGTCTACGTCTGGTTCCAGAATTTCCAGTACTCTAGCACCTGAGATCTCTGACACTATCTTATCTTTCGAGAAACTGGTATCACTGAATACATCCTTTTGAAGTAGCTCGATTGGCCCACTTGATCTGTCTGATCGGAATTTTTCGGAATGCGGACTGGACGTAGGCTTCGATAAATCCTCCAATTCTCCAGTGTCTACGTCTATTGTTTCTTCAAGATCAATCTGCTCGGATATGCTACTGGGACTCATGGTAATGTCTCTATCCTGAAGTTTAGCGTGCGAAGATGGTAAACTGTCTTCTCGATCATGTAGCGACGATTCTTCGTCTTTCGTTATATCCTCACTAATGCTTATACTATCTCTAGTAGATCCTCTCTCAAATATTTCTTCTTGAATAGATGTTTTTGATAGCGCTGCTGCCGCAATCGAATGATCCTTGCTCTCTCTTAGTTCCTCATCCAAGGATTTCTTCATTATGCTTTCGAATTGTTTTGTTAGATCGTCCGCCAGTTTCTCATGGTCAGTATCAACATTTTCGGAGAGTAATTGATCTAAATATTCTTTGGTTAGCATCTGAGATTTCAATCCAGACGTCGATGATCTCCTCTCAATCTCGCTTTCAATTGATTGTATCAGATCCTCCGCTATATTTCGCGCTTCGAGTTCTTTGGCGACCAATTGTTCTCTCCTTTCGAGAGATCCCGGAGCTTTGCTGCTCGGAAGTTGTTCATCTTTTTCAGACTTTTCAGCCGAATCAGACTTATCATGTGCTTTCTCGCTAGGTATAAATTGTTCAATCTTAAAACTATCCGAATTATCTTTGTAAGATTGTCCTTGCGCAATCATTTCAACCTTTCCCAGTTCTGTTTCTTTAGCCGTTTTAGGCGATTTCTTAATATCTTTCACTTTTTTTGTGTCATCTTTCTTGATCTTAATCGCCACATCAACGTCACTTTCTCTGATCCTACTAGTTCCAGATTTCTCTGTCGCGATTCCCTTCTCATCCTCCAGCAGTTTGAACAACTCTTTCTTTTTGCTCTCTACTAGGGACTCGGCAGCACTAGCATCTATCACTTCTTTGCCTTCTGTCATATTCATTGACATCTTCTGCGTGGTAGTTTTATCCACCTCTTCACTTTTGCTTTTCTTCTCCTTTACAGTCTCAACCGATGACTCTTTAGTGAATTTAGACTCCGATGATTTCTTTCTTTCCACTTTCTCCTTCTCCTCCTGAGTTATAAATCTATCCGCGCCGCTAGAAATCTCCGACGAGAGCACTTCTTTTTTCTCTATTTTACTGGTAGCCTTGGTGTCGACCTTTGATGTGACCGTAGCAAAATTTTTATCTTTTTTAGCACTTATATCCTCGAATATCTTGAACGCGTCCTGTACATCAGTAAAAGTCTTAGAGAACGTTTGCATCTTGCTTTTTGTGGTCGAGCGTTCCTCATGTCGCGAAGTAACCTCCTCACTGGATTTTTTCTCGGTGACTGTGATAGTTTCACCATCTTTTTGCCCTAGCAGATCTCTCCTCGCATCTTTCTCCTTCGTCATTCCTTCTGTGATGCGTTTAGGTATCCGAGATTCGAATTCCTTTTTCTTGCTAGACGGTGAAGCGGCGTCCTTTTCCATGATCGGACTTCTTGACAATTTCTCCTCTGGTTTCTCTGGTGTCACTTTAGTTTTTGTCTCTTTTTGGTTCTTATCCTTTTCGGCCATTGCTGTAGAAATTGGAATACGAGATTCAAACTCCTTCTTTATTTCTTTGCCATCTGTGAAAACGGTGGATTTCTTTTCCTTGTCAAGACTTGTGTCGTATTCAAACTTTATGCCTTCTCCATTTTCGGTCTTTTTCTTTTCTTCCATTTCTGCTTTTACTTCGAAGAATTGCTTAATTTCCTTTTTAACGTCTGATGGAACCAATTCAGTCTTAATATCTGTTTTTTCAATGTCACCTGTAGTTGGTACTTCGTATGCAGTGTCTGCTAAATGCTTTTCAAATATCTTTGTTTCTTCACTAACTTCTGGAATCTGCGTTACTGATTCGCCGTCCGTTCCTTCAATTTGCACCGATTTAAGAACCTGTTCTTGCACTAAAGTTCCGTCTTTTTGTACTTTGTAAATAATTGTTGTTTCTTCCGTTATTATTTTCCTTCCCGATTTTTGCGGTGTCTCCGGTCTTGATTCTTCTACAATTTCTTGAACATCCATCGATACATCGGATTTTTTTTGCTTCATTATCTCTTCTGGCTTTGTAATCTCTTCTTTAACTTCTTTCTTACTTTCTTGTTTTATATTTTTTTCTATTTTGTTCTTTGTCCCAATTTCTTCAGCGAGTTCTCTTTCCTTATTCAATAACTCCTTGCAAATCTCCATCACCGGTTGAGCTATTATTTTCTGAATCTCTTTACGCATACCTTTATCCTCGTCTGTATCCTTCTTTTTCTTATCGGTATCTTTTGTCTCTTTTTGTGTTTCCTTCATCCATTTGACGTCTTCCGTGCTAGTTTTCAAAATTTTCTCTATCTCTCTCGCTTCCACCAGATGCTTCTCCTCGATATCAATGTCCTTCGTCGTTTCTAAAACACTTTTCTCAACACGATTTTTCTGCTCATCGATTGATTTGCCTTTAAAGAAAGACTTATCTTTTTCTGATTTGACGGAGTCCTGCAACCTCGTTGTTCCTATTCCCATTTCTTTCTGTATCTGTTCTTCAAAATAGTGTGCCTTTTCCGCCACCGAGCATTCCGAGATGTCAGGCACATTGATATCTTCGATGGTCTCCGACCTTAGGACTTCCGAGATTCCCTCCGTGGTTCCATCACCCTCTTCAGACACAATATTCGGCAAACACGATTCGCTGTCACTCTCGTTGATAGTTAATTGGGAAGCTCTTGAAACCTCGGATTCAGAACGCTGATAGCTTTCGCGCTTCCTCGAGATATCCTCCCAAAATTTACGTTTCTCTGAATATGTTTGCCTCTCGAGATCGGGCGACAGATCCGCTTCCAATTGACCGATGCTTACTTTACTGGGATAACTAGCATCTACGGATTCTAAGGGACAAGTCGCTTTTTGTGCAAAGGATTCGTGGATAGCGGCATCTAGAACAACCAAGAATTATTCTCATATTACTTTTTATTAAGCACATTATATTATAATGGCTAGGATACATTGTGTCTTTTTTAATTTACAATTATTTTCTTTTATTCGCAGTAAGATCTGGCGATCAAGAACTTTCGTAGCGCAAATTTTGTATTTTTTTCTCCTTATTTTTTTTCTAAAATTGTAAGTACAAGATGTACTGAAGCCAAACTTGAAACTGCAAAATACAAAACAGTACGAGCCCACTAAATAAAGTCTCGAAATAAATAAGTTTCTATGCAACTTTGATTCTAATAAGGCTACCAGTGTAATTTATTTATGCAGTAATGCAATCTTTTCTTTCAAATAAATATAATTTTTAAATAATCCTTAATGTATATTAATGTATAGATAATCTCTTAACTAAGACTATACATATATACAATGATAATAATACAATAATAACAAATATTATATATATATTATATGTATATGTATTACATATAATATCAAAATGTAGGCTCGTTCTGTTTTATATTTAACGGCTTTAATCATTGAAAAGTACAACTTATTGTTAGCAAATTTTTAATGTAATATGTAATACTAACAACTATTTTTAATTATATTTTTATTATATATCTTTGCTTTATATATGAAAGAATAGAGATCATTAAATTTATTATATAAGGTTGATGCAAAGAGTTTATCGAATTTATTGTATAGAAAAGATAAAATTATAGGGTCTTAAAAATATTGTTTATTAATCAAAATAGTCGCTATTGGTTTCAATACACTTCTTCTAAATAAATTTTTGTATGTTAAATTTAAAAAACTTTGAGTTCTTAGAATTTATAAATTCCATAACAGTGTTTCAATAACTATTCAGTTTTCAAATTTTTTATTTTTCAAAAACTAGTCGAGATGTTTAAACAGATGGTAATTAATGGGTGAAAAATCCGGAGAATACGGTGGGTAAAATGTTTAAAATTTAAAATTTATTCTCCGAATCTTTCACCCATTGACTTACTTACTATCTGTATAATCTGTATAAATTTATTTACTATCTGTATAATCATCTTGACTGATTTTTGAAAAACAAAAAGTTCGCAAACTACAGTTATTGAAAATATCTTTATGGCATTTATAAATTCTAAGAACTCAGAGTTTTTAAAATGGTATACATAAAAACTCTTGTTTCTAGGAAGAAGTGTATTGAAGCCAATGGCGACTATTTTAATTAATAAACATTAGTTTAAGATCCTATAATTTTATCTTTTCTATAATATGATAAATACGACAAATCTTTTATATGTTATACATATATATATATGTTCTTAAAATATCATATTCTTGAATAAATTCTGAGACGATTTTTTCTTTTCGAGTTATAATTGAAAATTGTTAACTACTTGCGAGTTCGGTGCAGGCAGGGACACGCAATGCATAATGAGACTGTCAAGTGTTACGTTAGTCTCATGACGTGTTGCGCCGTATTATTTTCAATTATAACTGAAAACTAAGCTTCGAACAAAATTTTATAAAAGAAAAAATCGTCTGAGAATTTGCTCAAAAATATAACATTTTAAGGACAGTAGGTTGTTTTGAATCATTCTGTATGTATATTTGAATCATAATTATCATAGCTGTATTCACTAAAAGTATAATTACGCAATTACGAAATAAATTTTTCTATTGCTCTTCTTGCACATACAACAACTGATTCTATTATTGCAAAAAAAAAAGAGAACATTAATCAAATTTTTGCATTAATTATCTATATACGTATTTACATATTATAATATATAATTATATATGTGTATATATGTATATATCGGAAAGTTTCTCTAGATTGCGGAGACATATTCTTTCGCATTAATATCCCATACGGTTGTCTACGATAATGTTGAGGACGGCAGTTCGGTCTGCAAGTATAATAAGTACATGAAAATATTACGTTATTATTGGTTTTATAAGAAAAATATAAGAATTAATTTGTTGATAATTATTTTTGGATTAAACGCGCATCGTATTATTATTATTGGATTATTTATAAATATAAAATTTTTATATTATGATTGTTATAAGCAGACTTCTTTGAGTACATAACGCTATTTCAAATATATCTAATATTAATTGTTATTTTTCAAAAATACATTATATTTTATATTTTTGATTGCCTAAATATTTTTTTGTTACTTTTGCCCCATTAAAAATTTATTTAATAAATCTTAGGCACGGTGCAAAAAGAAAAATGAAAGAGTCTGCGACAAACATACGATATACAAATTGTCCAAAATTATTTTTGCATTACATATACTTATTCCGCCATTTTTTATTTTTCATGATTTTGTGAAATAAATATTTTCTGTGCAAAGAATAAAACTACACTTTGGATAATTTAGACGAATTTTGAAGAATCATAATATTCAATATATAACTCTTGTTCAGAAATTTTTCGTAGCTAAACTTTTTTTATCAATTTTATAGATAAGCTTGAGATATTACTGTAATTTAAAATTCTAAATTATCTTTGAGTTAAGACTTTCTGATTGAATTAGGACTTATAGCATTTATATAAGATGTTATACAACTTCTATCTCATTGCAATGGTTAAAAGTAAGTAAATAGATTCAAATCCGATTAACATCTTCAATTATTTTAGTCAATTATATTGATAGCATCTTACAATATTTTATTCATTATTTTTATAATGACGATATCTTATCATCTTGTTAATAGTATTGTTGTTAACTCTTGCTATTTGAGAAATTAATCGAACCTTTTTAAGGATCACATATATTTTATATGGTGTAAATAGTGTTTTTGGTAAATGTTTGGAATAATGCAATCAGAGTCGATCGTTTTGACCTTGACACATGTAAAAAGCTATAGTCCTGAATAACAAAAAGATTTTAGCCATCGCTCGTTTATCAAACAGTTGTTAACTGAAAAAGTTTGCAAAATAGCATGTAATTTTTGGACACATTTAAAGAATTACGTCCTATTTTGCAAATTCTTTTGGTCAATAACTTTTTAATGAACGAGCTACGGCTAAAATCTTCTTTTGTTCCTCACAATTATAAACTTGATAACATATGTCAAGGCGATCAAGCTTGACTGCGTTATTCTAAAACACTTACCGTGTTTTTTTTTTTTTACTACATTTACTTCGTTCTTTTTAATTCTATTTAATTTAATCGACATCTTCAACATCGGTATGACAATCGCTGATAGCTTCGTCAATTGCATCCGGCACGTGCAGAGTGTTCTCTACTTTATTAGTCATAACAATTTGCGAGGCAGCTAAAACGTCAAAGTCCTGATACACAGAACTGTAAGCTGCTGCCTCGTCCAATTTAATTTCATCGTCGGATGCCTCCATGTCCTCGCTGTCGGTGTTCGGCATATCCGGTATTGTCTGTATATCCTTCTTATCGATGGAGATCTGCTCGCGCGACAATCGGTTTCGCACTTCCACAGAGAATGGTCCATCACCTTCCTTAGTCGTGATCATCTCGCCGCCAAATTCGGCGAAAATGTCTGATCTCGGCTCGACATAAATCGTTGGTTGAATATCGTCATCACCCTCTATGTCCTCTAAATCTGTTTCCCCTTGATATCCGTTATCGACCGCTTTCAAATTATGCTTGGTAGCCTTTTCATCGATTTCCGGGTCGCTATATATCTCGTCAACGTCAGTGAGATTCTCCACGAAACTACTGCGTCTTGATCGAGATCTAGCCTCACCGTCGGCTATAAGATAGTCTAAATTATCTTTGTTCTTTGATTTAGGCTCGATGCTCTCTGCATCAGTTACGGAGATCAACGGACTGTTTGCTTCTGCAGGATTAAGCTTGCCGATCTTGTTGGTGATCATTGTCAATTCGCCCTCAGAATCCGTGTCGGAGAAGTGAAACGATGCATTGCTCATCATAGCATTTAAACGTCTTCTAGCGGATCTGGATTTGCGTTTGACCTTTGTTCCGGAGAAACTATCCTTATCGTTCGCTTGACCGTCTTGCTTTATCATGGCACAATCATGCTCGTTAACTTTTGTCGCCATGTCGATTTTTACGTACGTTTAAAGTGCCCAATCGTGTAAGTGCAAACTAAAGAATTAAAAATACCTGAAACTAAAAATAATAACAAAAAAAAATTAACGATAACATAAAGTTTTATAAATAAATTATTCAAAATAAGTATAAGATCATATAATTGAAAGTTTTGCAAAAAAAAAATAAGTTCATAATTTATAAGATCCATTTTAGTGATTTTAAATGTAAAATAGATGTTATAACTTATAAATTTATCTTATTTTTTTTGTATTAAATCTTTCAATTTTATAAATAAAACGAAATAATAAGAAAAAATAGATAACAAACTGAAAAAACTTACGTTTTGATAATTACTTATGAGTGTTTAAAAGAAATAAGAGATATAAAATTTGCACCGTTCCCTTCGTCGGCATAGATTGAACTAAAGAAGTCCACCACCGACACTTTCGAGCATATGTTGATGCCGTTAGGTTTAATTAAATTAAGGAAACCTCACCCAACTGTTAAGCCGTAAGCTGATTATCTTTCTCCCCTTAAATGAAAATATACAGAATGACAATCGAACTTTATCGTCTTCAAGGCAAAACGATACTCGACAAGGATTTTCTTTTGAAAGTATGTTCTTTTTTGTTTTTGATCTTGTGTACATACTTTGCTTACGAATGATCTTTCGTCGCCAGACCTTTCTCAAGATATCGCTACATCCTTCGGTAGATACGATATAAAAATATTTTTATATAACAAAATATATATATATATATATTGATGATATCACTTAGTTACGCAAGTTCTCTTTTTGCACCTTGCATTTGTAATATTATAGACATATAGACTATATTAAAATTTTGATATTAAAACATTTTTAAATGAAATAATTCAATCGATTTTTCAGGATGTTCGCTAATACTTGATAACCGTATTTTGTAAGAGCAGTATCCGTAAGCTAAACTATCTATGTTTTATGTTTTTGACATCATACCTGTTTGTTCCTTTTGTAACGTGTCGGTTATGAATTTTTTTTCTGATGGCGAAGTCTCTTTAGGCTTATCAGTTTTCTCCATTTGTTCCATTTTGTACTTTGATTTGTAATAATCTAGTTTTTGATTTATAATATTAGAATCTTCATAACCTGTATAGCAACAAAGAAAATTAATAAATTATATTAATATAATACATTTTAATAATGTTAATAGTTAATTTTAGTAATATTTTAAAGAAAAAAATTGTTAATTTACCTAAACAAATTTTAGAAAATATAAAAATGTAAAAAATATTGAAACGTTTATTATTTTTTACATTGTATTATTATTTAAACAATCATATATTTAATCATATATATATA